AAAAAAAAAAAAAAAAAAGAATGTTCACAGCAAATCCATCAACTGTAAATGAAAAAATAACCTCGTATATTCCCCCAGTGGAAGAGTAAACAGCGCAGAAAAAGAAACTACTGACCTCCACAACGGCATGGACGAATCTCACAGACATAATGTTGAACAAAAGAAGCTTGCTGCAGGAGTACTTACTGCCTGAGTCTGCTGAAATGAAGACTGAAAACAGGCAAAAACTAATTTAGAGAAGATAGCAGAGTAATTACCTTTAGCAGATGAGGGAAGCTTCTGCGATGCTAGAAATTCTCTGACCTTGATCCAGGTGATAGTTCCATGAGTGTGTGCATATATAAAAATTCACCAAGCAGTACTCATATTTGTGTACTGCATATGAGCACTAGATCAAGTTTTTAAAAATGGGGGGAGGGGCATACAATGTGACAATGTATGTTGCATGCTTAGCATGGTGCCAGTGTCAATTCCTCAAGGAACTTTGAGCCCCTGTAGCCTCTCCTTTCACATGGTTGCCCAACCGTTCACAGCCAAGGCTGGAGGAGTAATGCAAGATGTTGGGAAGGAAGGTGGGAGATGGTTGCCAGGCTCCTCTGCCAAGGGAGGACTTACCTACACAGGGCTCAAGAGTCCAACTGAGGCCTTGGACAAAGCTGCAGAGAGGGCCACTCATCAGCTTCCTCGCTTCTACCTCAGCCAGCCAGTGCAGGGCCCTCCCCTGGTAGGCTATGGACCCATCCTCCGGAAGCTGCTATGGAAGCTCTACGCAGAAGTGGCATCCACACCTAAATGGAAGAGGAGAAAACTTCCTGACCCATATCTGTGCCTGACACCATCAGAGACTCATGAGTCCAGGCTGCACTGAAGGGTTATCAAACCAGAGTGAGCTTGCCCATGAAGCTGAGATGGCTTCTTATGTACGTAACCTGTCCCAGGCCACACAGCAGGGGAGGTGGGACTGAACCACGGATGAGTCAAAGCTTCCCAGAAGAGCATGGGCTACCCTCTGTTCCAGCTCCCCCCAGAGGGAAAGCCCATGGGGATACATGGGTACTCAGAGTGGCTTCACAGCAAAGGCAGGGACAGGGAGAGGGTTACCCTACGGTCTGGTCCTGGCCAGTCCCCAAGCACTGATTGGCTCTGGCCAGCAGATGGTGCCAGAGGGCCAGCAGTCATTCACGGAGCCTGCCCCCTCCCTGAGATGCCTCCCGAAGCTGCCCTCTCTCCTCTCCAGGATCAAGAGTCCTGTCCAGATCCCTGGTGTGACCATCAGAGGCTGAAGGCCAGTGCAGCTTGACTACACACCTGCAGTGTGACCCTGGAAGTAGCCTCCAGCCCTGTAACAGCGTCCCTCTGTGAAATCAAGTTCACGCACACAAGTCCTAGCAACAGGGGCCAGGCATGCTCAGTCTTTAAAAGCAGGGCAGTGTAGGCCGTCAAGGGCTGTTCTGTAGATGACAAAATCATGACAGGCATGACCTACTATCTCCCACTATATCCTCCCCAGGGAACCAGAGGACACCAGGGCCAGTGTGGCATCTGGAGCCCAGCACACTGGGGCAAAAACCACAAGAGAGGGGCAATCTGTCTGAGAGGTCCACAGCCCAGCCTGCCAGCTGGCTATCCATGGAGCTCCAGGCCGGACCCTGAGATGCTGAACATTCCGGAAGCCAGACTTGGGGAGACATCAATGAGGGGAAGGCAAGTATAACTCGATTTTTTTATTTTTTATTTTTATTTTTTGAAAGAGAGAGGAGCGGCAAAGGGAGAAAGAGAACCTTACGCAGAGTCCACCCCCAGCGCAGAACCCGACACTGGGCTCGATCTCACAACCCTGAGATCATGACCTGGGCTAAAATGAAGAGTCAGATGTTTAACCGACTGAGTCACCCAGGCGCTCCAGCAAGTACGACTTTAGTATCTCTTACAAACCAAGGGCTCGTTTGTGAATGCTGAAGGCCTAGTTAGGAAGGCCTGTTTGCCCAGGGGCCACTGAGTGGCAAGGACATCCTCTGGAGAATCTCTTGTGTACAGTCTCAACCCAGGACACCCTCACGGGCCCAGAAAGCTGCTAGTGTGTGCTGTGCCAACCAGTCAATGAATATTTCCCTAGTAAGAGGCAGTGGTAAACAAGACAGAAAAAGGACTTCAGTCTTAGGGGGTCTGTCTTCTAGTGGTTAAGATATGATAAGCACACACAAATAAGAGAATGTTAAATAGGTAAGTATTGTGAGGAAAATAAACGCTGATCCAGATAGTGAAGTTGGGGGAGGCAGGGGCAGCAACATATGTAAGCAGAAACCTGCCAAAGAAGGCACCAGCCATGGAAAGAAGTGGAACAGCTATTCAAGGAGATCAAGTGTAAAGGCTCTGAGTTAAGAATGACCTTGGTGAAAAACAAACTGAGGGTTCTAGAGGGGAGGGGGGTGGGAGGATGGGTTGGCCTGGTGGTGGG